TTTATTGGGTGGATATTTTCAAAGGTGTTTGCCAGTTAAATGTTTGGCCTGCATTGAAAGATTATACTTTTTCAGTGATTAAATTCTCTATAGCAAAAGGCAAGTCACTAGTGCTAATGACCTTTTAAAGTAGCAAGATTCAAAATTAAGCACCTAAATTCTGTTTCAGATTCAGTTTCCACATGCTTTTTGAGTGCAGACATATACAAAATGAATCTCAATCTTGAAGTGACAAACATGTGGATTGTACTCATTATATAAAAACAGCTGTAAGATAGGGTTGCATTTGGGCCAATATCATGCCTAATAACAGTCAGATGTTTTTGTGAGAGTCTAGGAACAAGACAATCTTAATTCAACAGCCTCAAAGATTTGTGGTTCAAAGACTTGCTCATTCAGGAGTGGCATCTCTGTGTTTAGTAGCCATGGATAGATTTTTCCTTTGAGTTTGCATAGTCATCTTCTGAGCTAGTATAAATGTGTAGCTTCTCTAGCTTTGCATTGTCAAAATAAGCAGGAGTTATTTCACAGCTTGTGAACTATTGGCTTCATTTGAAAATCCCTACTTTTCTGTGTTGGAAGAAATGGTAAAAACTGGCAATGTACTCCTGCCCTTTGTTTCCTATCTTGTGATAATTTGCCCGTGCAAGGACTTCCTCTCTTATCCCATGGCAATGTAGCTTCTTTAAAAGCTTTTGGTGAGGCAGCTTTATCACATACCATTTGGAATCCCATTAGACTCAAGCCTACATTCTGCTTCCTTCAGAGAACTGTAGCAGACTTGGTGAATTTGACAATTTCCCCAATAAAGTATATTATATGCCCAATAATATTCTTTAACAGAATATCAGCTAAGTTGCCTGACAGGAACATCAGCCCTTTTGGTTTGTAGCTCCCCACATACTTCCACCATTGAACTGTTTTATATTCAGATTCCCTAAAGTTTGCGGTGACTCATTACGGTTGATTCTGTTGATCGTTCTATAGTCTTTTCTACAGTAACCTAAGAAAGCCCTTCACTACATGACATATTGGGACAGAGGAGGCTCTTGAGTTGTGAGCCTCCACAAGCTCTTCCTCAGTGAACACATGAAGCGTTTCCTGTGCTGCCGTTAAGTGTTCCTTTTTCACTCTGATTATTTCTTGGTCCGATGGACTCCTTGCAGTCTTCTGATTTCGCCATGTTTGGAAAAGGACATTATGCCTTTAACAAGTACATGGTATTTTTGTTGTTGTCGGATACTTCTTTTTTTGCTCAATCACCATGTTTTTGCAGTTAACCTGTCAGATTTGTTCTTTTCTCGTTTTCTCATTCGTCTACCACATCAGCTTTTCAAGAACGTTGTCTTATCTCCTAATAGTCTCCTTTATTTTGCTTTTTAATTATTTTGACTGTTTAGAACCTTTTTGAATGATAATATGCAGTTGTTCCAAGCCTTGAAATGTCTCCTGTTACCAACCATCTCTTGTGTAGCATCTTGAACCTGATCCTTCAGTAGTGGTCAGGATCAAGGTAAGCATTGTCTTCTGACCAGCTTCTTCATGTCTAGAATATGTAATCTTGGAAGTGCATCAAATATGACATTTACTAAACTATATGAAATAATTAAAATCTCCGTGTGTTTATGGTTTTTCTGCTGTCACAGCCTTCTAATCTCCCTCAGTATGTTACATTCACCATCTTAGCCAGGTATTCAGTGGTGCAGTCTTTACACTTTATTTTTTTATTTAGGCATGAAATGTTAATCCATAGAAGTTCTGTTGTTTGTTTATACAGTTTTTTTTTTTTAATATGATTGACTCTTACGGCAACACTCTTCCATCATCTTGACCTAAAATCCGTTTCTTATATACTTTGCACTTTGGTATTATAGCATCTCGGAAACAGTCGAGTTTCTGAACATTACTCTTCTTTCATTGCTTAGCTCCATGTCTTAATTCTCACTCTAGAGGCTTTTCATCTCACTCTCCTTGTCTGCTAAAAAATCCCTTTTGGACACCTTTCACAACGTTATCCATCGTGTCCAGTTCCCAAATTTCTTCCCTTCTGTTCAAATCTTCATGCTTACTTAGAGCTGGACACAACATTTTGTTTCAAACTATCAAGAAAAGAAAATTCTGTATTCTTTACAGTCATTTTATGATTTTAACTAGGCATCCACTCATGTAGCTTTTCCCGCAGCAATAAGGAATTATTTACATTCTAGTTGTATTGTGTAACTTTTCCTTGAGAGAGGAATCAACAAATTTAAGCATTGATAAACCAGTTTCTGAGATATGTAGCCACTCACTTTGCCTTCAAAAATGAAAATGGTGTGGGTTTCAGTCAATCAGATGCTAGAAGCACAAGCCCAGAAGTAAGACTGTGCTGTAATTGCATAACTTTGAAGAATAAGAAGTGCAGTTATTCTTTCTCTCTCACAGAAAGCACAGTTTACAAAAGCATAGTTTTAGCTATGCAGCATGAGCTGCACTCCCACCTGAACAGTGTTGTTGGAGCTAGCCTTAAATTTCGTGCCTCAGTCCTCCCATCTCTTCCCCTACCTTTCAAGCCTAGAAAGCAGCAAGGGGGAGTTACTAGATAGCAGCTGTGTGGAAATGTGGCACTGTTAGAAAGTGGATGGTAAGTTTAAGGATCATGAAGGCGACAGACTAACAATGCTGAGAAGGAGATTTTCTTGTTTGCCCAAGCCAGATGCAATTGACAGTTCTGCCTTTGCCTATAAATACGCCTGTATGCGCTGAAGATAGGCCATCCCACACACATTTCCAAATGAGAAAGGATACCTGTATTTCCAGGTTTGTTCAGTTTTTTTGCCTTGATAACAGGAGACTGATTATTGTCAGATCAGGTACCCTGGTCAGCAGCGAAATACTTTTATATGCTAGGATCTAAGCTAAGACTGTCATTCAGTTTCTCCTAAATGGTCCCCCTGGTAATCCATTAGGTATCTCTAACAATATCTAACTTCCTAAAGTTTTCGTATAACTTTTGAGAATATAAAACTCAGCTTTTTAGTTTGTTAGGCTATAGGATTTATGGTTACAGTGATCCTTTTTAAAAGCATGGTTTTAATGTTACCTAGCATAGATTTTTATGTCAGTAACTACCGATTACAGTGATATGAATAACTTTTTAATCTTGGAGAAGGGGAAGTTCTGGCAACTTATAGTTCTTTCAGGGTCAGCTATTGTTTACTTGATATTTTATTACTTTAAAAGAGAGATTAAACTAAACTACTTTTCCTGTTGGATATACTTTGTAAGTATGGGATAATTCTTGAGTCAAGGTTTTCTGTAGAAGAAAATGAATTAATTCCTTCATTATCTTGGTGTACAATCATATTCAGTATTGTTCAGAGATGAAAAAGTAATTGAGAGAAAATGCATTCCCTTCCCCATGCTCTTCCCCACCGCTGACACAAAACCCCCAACGACTTATTGAGTGCCGGTTCCTATACAGCCTTGAATGCTGAAAGCATAAGTCATTCCCTTCCTAGGCATCAAAGCCTACCCTCCACAACCTCTCAAAAGCAGCTGTATCTTTTTAATAAAGATAGTTTCAACTCAATAGAACATGTTGGAAGAGAAAAATCAATTGGATATTTTAAAAATTGGTGACAAGATATCCGCTCCAACTGAATTAAGCTGGTGCTGAGAGACTTGAGGAAACAAAGACTCATCTGGCGAAAACTTCATAAAGTATCTGAGATACCTGCTAGAGAGTTTATAGTTACTCTGCGGAGGTAAACAGCTCTTTGCGTATGAAGCACTAGCTTTATCATCAACCCTGTAAAAGCCTTGGTTTGCAAGTGGTCCTTAAGATAATATTTTTACGTTTATATAGTCCTTAGAGTGTCTTTGGAAGAACCTGAATGCTATCAGAATTGTTTGCTTCAAAACTAGTATCAAAAATGCAAGAGGGTATAAAAATCAAACATCCTGAAAAATGGTAAGTTGTTGCTCAGTGTAAGTTAGAGCTAACGTAGCCTGATTTTCCAGCTTCCTCTTTGCTACCTTCTTCCCTCCCCCACAGATTTCTCAAGAAAACCAACTTATTTTTCTTACCTAGGTATTTAGAATGGAGAAAGGGTTGAACTTTTTGCAGTAGGTAGCAGAACTTGGAATGATTTTGTAGCAGATTGTGAAATGTTCTGTTTGATAATGACTGTATACATTTAAAGAGCGAATTTCTTCAGAATATATTCTGTCTCTGTATTTAGGATTTAATATTTCTCTGAATTATAGAGTTTTTCTAAAAGGTACCGCTTAACTTGCAGCTCTTTGAGAAGTAGCAGCGTGACAAGTCAAGAACATGATATCAAAGAGCTATGAAAATATGTATTTACTTTGCCATAACTTATACTCATATATGATATTTGTGTGCAGACAGATGAGAGGTATTTGGTCAGAGCAACGGAAAGTTGGCAGTGAAAGGTTTATTAAACTGGTAAAATTCTGCATTTTAAGCAAGGCATTATCTGAGTACATTTCTGTTTCTAAACATTGCATTCTAAGCTGAACATCGATATTCTAACAAGCTATAAGAGCTATAATTTTGAATTGCTCGTTTTCAGTCATCTGAAATGTCTGTTAGAAAAGTCATTTGCCTGAAGTATGTTTTCTAGCGTATACCATTTGACCTAATAGCAATACTTTAGGGAATATAATAAAGGGAATATAGATTTTTTTGTAAGGTAAAGCAAAATATGCAAACCTCTTCATACCAGTCACTTTCTTTTCTGAACTAAGATGCCCTGTTAAAAAGCACTTCACATATGATGAAGTGGTTCCCATACAGTCACTTTTGTTTATCTGTTTTTATTAAGTACTTTGAACTTATCTGTGTTCAAGATATTATTTATAACAATGCAATACTATTATTGTAGCTGAAAATCAGGTAGAATCAACAAGCGTAGTTGCTTGAGCATCCAGGCAAAATGATTTATTTTGTGCGGAAGTATATACGTATATATGAAATCATTCTTTTTTCTGTCCAGCTAGGTGTATGGTTTTCCTTGGGCTGCGCATACCTTGCTTTAGAAGGCTACGAAGGTGCTGCCAAAGCATTTCAGCGCTGTGTGACATTGGAACCAGATGTATGTACATTTCAACAAGAGATTGAGATGCCTTATCTAGAAGCAACAAGGATGTTTTCATTATAAACAAACAAAGCAATAATACAAAACTTGTTTAAATCTTAGGCCTTTGAATAAATTAAACTTTTGCATAAAGGATATATTTTCCTCATAAGGCATCATAAAAATACTTGCCCAATACTTAACTTTGTCCAAGTATGTGTATGTGAATGTTAAAATATGTTTGGTGAGCGTACAAATTTTTTTATGCTTGCATGCATGGCTAAAACAGAGAGAAAAGGGAATGAGCAGACCATGAGTAGAGTTAGAGACAGATAAAACACTAAGTTAAAATGCTTAGTCCTGCAAGTAAGTAATTGAATTCTTCTGAAAGAAAAGTCAAGTAAGTTGTATATGCAGGTAAATTTGAGACTAATATAATTCACGAACACAGGCAAGATGAAGTTTGTTATCCAGTTTTTCAGGATGTACGAGGCAAGCGTGTGCACAACATTGCAGTTTGAGTGAGTATGACTGTGCAGAGATTGTAGAAATGACAACTGGATTACCTCTTGGGAACGTACTGGCTATACTTTTTTGTCAAAGGCCTGACTGCCAGTATGCCGCTGAGTTAAGTTAATGTCACCTACTTGACAGAAACTGATTTTCATTCTTTTTTCTTGGGGAAATAAGAAGAGAGCAAACAAAGTGACAAGTATTCTTTTTTTCTTTATTACTAAAACAAAAGAATTTATTTGAAAGAAAAACAGACAATCCTGTACTTAAGTGGAAGTTTTGCCTTGTTTTACGCGTTGACATGATCTATTTCAACACAGTAGATCAGTCCAAAGTGGACTGAAATTGTGTTCGCTTACCTGTCTGGGGATCATACTTGCCTGTATTTATACAAACAAGCCAACTTACTTCTCAGTAGTTTAAGTAGTATTTATTATTCGAGTAAAAGGTGCTGAGCTGGCTCTTAGCTATGGAGGTCAAACCTGTCCCTGTGCAACAATGTGCAGCAATGCCCCGCACCTTTTTATGACTGAAGCCTCAAATAGGTTTCCCAACATGATTTAAATGCTCCATAAACCTGAGAGTAGTCTTCAGCACAAGAGAATATTTCACTGAAATAACCAGGTTCTGGTCTTTAAATTTATACTAGTTACCACATTGTTGACTTCAGTGGTATGAATTTAAATTTACAGCAGTGTAAAACACTCTTAATCCCTTTCAGCTCAAACAGTTGTCTGATAAACGCAGTTGGAACTGTCCCTGTTAGCTTTGCCTGAAATGCATTAAGGGACATTCAGATGATTTTTTTTCTACTAACAAAGCTGTGTAGGTAAGTAACTTCCAGCTGGTGAGAAGTGATGAGCTGCTGGAATCACTGACCTCTGCAGCCATCCCTGCTAGATCCAGAAGAGGATGCCTGCTTACAGTTTAAAATGAAGGCAAGAGCTGGCATAGCATATTCCAGCCGGAAAGGAGTTAAATGAACTGTTTGTATTTCTGCTTGTTGCTATGATGAGTAATATTTATTTTAATGCAATATTTCAACTACATTATAGTAAATAGAATATATTAATGTGTGTTAATATCTGTGCAATTAGCAAAATTGATGATATAATAATTCATAATAGTTTTATTTACATATTTTTCAAATAAGTGTAATATAAGTAAATAATAATTTTGGGTGGTGTTTCTCCTTTTGTCATTACAGAATGCTGAGGCCTGGAACAATTTATCAACTGCATATATCAGATTAAAACAGAAGTAAGTACTTGAAAGGATTAGAAGATACATTTTCCAAAATAAGTAATTTGGATTTCCTTTTTCTGACATTGAGCTTTTTGTTCTCATAATGTGGTTAGCTCATTTATCCTAATTCTCATCCATTCAGTTCTCTCTTCCAGCTTGGATTATCTGATGATACTTGTTTCAATTTGCAGGAAATATATTCTCCCAAGCTTTATAAAAGTAGCAGTTACTCAGCCTACACCTTTTTTGTTACAAGTTTCAATTAGGTAGTACATGTAGCCAGTGCAAAACATTCATATTGAAGTTGGAAGCTAATTAGACTATGAAGTTAAAAAGATGTGTCTGTTTTAAACAAACTATGTATTTAGACCTGTATCAATTCATACTATATTAATCTCAGGAGACTGGAAGGAAAAACAGGCAGTTTATTTTTCATATCATGAAAGCAGATGGAGATCTACACACATAATAAAGCTTGCTCTTTTCCCCGCAAATTAGCCATTAATATAAGAGGCTTTGACCTAAATGGACTACCCTTCTTATTTTTGTGTCTCGGTTCAACGTGGTAAAAGCTTCTTGGAAGAATACTTGAAAGAACTTAATATTTCAGAAGAATTTCCACATTATAACCTGTCCCCAAGGACTGAAATAATAGAATAAAATAATTTTTTTAAAACGTTATTGATACACAAAATTAGACTGTGTTCAAAAACCTGACATCAATTTATATGATTATGCATTCAAGAGGCAAACTAAAAAGAAGACAAAGAATAGTAAGCTCACATGAAAGGGTAAGCTGAAAACTACCAAGGAAACATGGTAAATAACATCAAGAGATACTTAGCTATGTTAATGGGAGCAGAAAGGAAGAAAAAGTGGAGGTTAGAATGACTTCTTAAACTAAAAAGAGCAATAGAAATAAAGAGCTTGTTTTCCCTTTCCAGCAGTTCCTTGTGTCTTCAGCAGTGTTTTGAAGGGAATGCACAATTTAATTATCAAATCATACTATATCTCATTTATTAATTTATCTGTAGCATTTTTAAAGTATGCTGATTATACATTTATTTGGAAATCACTCTCCTCATTTGAAGTTCCTCCCTCTTATCTTAAACTGCTTTTGATAGATTCCTGTTTCTTTTGCATAAAGTTCAGAAGGGTATATTAAATACTTAGTGAACTGGCTTATACTCGGTTTATGGATGTATCTTTAATCAAAATCACTTTTACACCTCTCCATTTACTATAGGGCTAAGAAACTACTGACTGATTAGTTTCACTTTATTGATTTAATTTTATTGCTGTGAATCCACTCTTGTGATTTAACATGATAAATGCACACAGAACTTGTAAGCTATTTGAAATCCTATCAAAAATATTAAGGGAGGAGACAGTTTTTGAGGTTTTCTCTACGTGAGTCACATGGGAGAGGAATATGCATACAGGAAATCTTAAGTCAGTATTTTATGCTGATAGCTGAGTGTGGCCTGCCTTTGCTGTAGAATAGCTACTTCAAACTAATCATTTGTGTAGTCACTGTTGTATGAGACTGTGTGATGTAGTTTAACCCACTTTGAAAACAAGGGATATCTGTTGAGTCTAAATCCCAGCTTTCACAACGAACATGCTTTCAGTATGATTTATTTTGGGGGCAGAGGAGTGGTGAGAGTGGAAATTTTTATTTTTCATGCCTGCTAGGAAAACAAAAGAAGGAAAAATAGAGAAAAGGAAAAGAAAATAAGATAATAAAATTAACTGTTTTCTTTTACTCCCTCATCGAAATCAAACTTTACTACTGCCAGGCTCTGAAATCAGACCCACCCAAGAGTTGTACGTACGGGTGAGGCTTAGTGGAATCTCATACAACAGACAAATACAAAATGCATAAGTCTCTTTGAAAAGTGTGCACACACAACTTGTTGATACCCAAAGGACAGGGCTTTTGTTGCTTTGGGAGTTTGTTTTTTAACAATCCACAAATTAGGTGTATTCTGAAGTTCCTCAAGAAAAATTCATTGTGATAAAACCAGACTCTACTGTTTGGTTTACCAGAAGAATTTATCCAGGTGTTATAGGAGGTCTTTGAAATCTAGGAGGTCTCATATTGCTCAGAACAAACTGGGACTGCCTCCTCCGTCTTTTGGGTGAAAGGTGCTGGTTTCCAAGGCAGGATGACATGCTGGTACTGCCTGTGGTGTCCTGTTTGGATATTCATTGGTTTAACTGTTACCCTGGTTAAGGATATTCCATCATTAAGCAATTTACTGCTTTATCAGCATAGCAACAGTGATGATTTGAGACATAGATTTTACATCCTATCCCTGTAGTCTCTTTTTTTCTTTTCCTGGTTCTGTCTGATCAGCATCCACCTTCCTGATAATTTATTAACTTCTTTGAGAAGATGGCGGAGATCATACAGGCTAGTCCTAAAGATGCTGAAGAGCAGTTTGTTTTATAAGCAGTTACTCAAGATGATTAAGCTGTGTCCCTCAGCCAAAGTGTCTTCCAGCCTGTTAGAGAACTGTGGTGGATCCCAGCTTCCCTTGTAGCAAAATCTACAGAGGAAGGAGCAGACCTCTGTTCTTTTCTAATATAATAAGTCCAAATCCTGGGCTACAATCCCTTACTGACACAATTAACAGTGGAGGAGACCCAACTGTTACTTGGCATGTTCACTCAGCAGCAACAAGTATGAGAATGTGTATGAGAGGGAGAGAAAAGGGGAGTGAACGTGGGAAAATGTGCCTGTGGACTATTCTGCCTTAGCTATTCCAAATGACCTGTTTTCTTTCAATAGTTTTGTTCTCTCACTCAGCTCTATTCAGGTGTTTAGTAACTCTTTTTGTACTCTGGGTTTGGATTGGCAGTTATTTTATGTTTTTTTCCTGACCCAACTGTTTCCAAGCTTTTAATGGCCTGATCCAATAGTTAGATATTCCCTTTTCCTGGCTGGGATGTTTGCACTCTTGCACTCTCTTTTTTGAAGCTCAACCAGCAATGTCTTTGAGCTATCTTTCTTTAGAGATAGCACTTTTAAGGACTTTTACTCAAGCAATGGAGCAAGTGAGCTGCACATTTTAGTAAACCATGTTTATATGATATTTCTTAAGAAGAAATTTCTTATTATCTGTCCCCCAAAAAGGTTTTTACCATCCTGGGAAAACTCTGTTGCAGGTTTTCCTTTAAAAAAATTTATTCCTTTTGTTTTTTTCCTAAGCTTCATGACTCTCCAGCTGAGAGTAAGCTTCAGGCTCTTAAAGTCTGAAGAACCATATCATTTTGTATTTCTAGCAAAGCTTTTAGCTTTTGGCCGTATGTTTAAAGCTATGGACAGTTGCCTACTCTAATTTACCAACTTAGATTTAAGACTACATAAAGGTCTCTTGCTCCTCTGCTAGCGTTGGTTGCATGTCCTGCAGGAGGTCATACCTCTGTAAACTGGATGTCAGCTGCTTTCAGGTCATACGCAGCATTTGGCCAAACTGTCTTATGCACCTTACCACAGAACACCATTACTTCCCTCCTTGGGAAAGGGCATGGGAAACAGTTGCCTACTGTGGATCCATATGCACATATAAGGAAGATGGTTACTGACTTTACAGCAACTTTAGAGATTCTGCCTGCCTTCAATCCACAACACACTCTCTTGACACCATGTGACGGTTCACTGGGCAGCAGCGTTGGTAAAGGATCCTAATGGTGTTTGGGACCAGTAAAACTTCAGAAAAGAAAATACCAGTACAGATGGCAAAAATATAATCAACTTTTGTCTACTTTATTATATTATTTTGCCAAAATATAGTTAGGAGAACTAATACAGAGATCACCTGGAAACAGCCATAACACGGTATACTGATTAGTGAACCAGTAGAAGGTAATTGCCAAGAAAGAAGAAAGTATCAGTATGGTAAATTATGAACCATAATTTTAAATTGCACTGTTTTCTAAACAGATTTTTGAAATTGGCACCTTTTTAGCTGATACAACGCCAGCTGGTTTTAATATATTTGTATAAGATCTTCATTTTCATTTTTCTTTTTTATTATTATTAGAAACAAAGCATTTCGAACCCTTCAAGAAGCTCTCAAGTGCAACTATGAGCACTGGCAAATTTGGGAGAACTACCTTCTCACCAGTACAGATATTGGAGAGTTTTCAGAAGCAATTAAAGCTTATCACCGGCTCATGGACTTAAAAGAAAAGTACAAGGATACACAGGTGGGGAGGTTTTCCTTTTAGGTTATTTTATAAGTTCATTAATTTTTCTTATGAGACAGATTTCTGCTGATAATGGTATCAGTAGTGATAACACATACAATGAAAGCTATATAGGCAAGCCATTTAACTTTTTGAGATTTGAACTATGAGACTGAATGTTAAAAATTTATAAAAAAAACCAAAACCTTGCATCCAGATTGCCTCGTATTTTGTGGAAGGACAAATACGAACCTTGTTGTTTTAGGGTCTATTCTTAAATAAAACACAATGCATAACACCGTCTTTATGCATTGTTCCTGCATATCTCAGTATGAGAAATAATAAATTATTTTGCATGTTATAGTTCCAGTGAAGGTAAGCCTTTCCCGTATGTCTGAAAATCCCTCAAATGAGTCTTTGAAAGTGAATTATGTTTCATGGCTGAACACATTAAAGTGAGAACATTGATTTTAAGTAGTCTGGAGCAAAGAAAAATAAAGGAGGTATTTTGCTCGTCTTCCACTGCGGTTCAGTTAAGTTCAGTATTTGTAAACGTATGCTGTGGATAAAATCCAGAGGGCCTACTTTAACAGCTTCGACTCAGATTGTTACCTTATCTAAAAATAGGTCCTGATCCAGGCAGGGTGATTGCGAGAGACTTGTTCGTTCCGTGCGTTTAGTGAAAGTAGCTGGGTGAACCTGAAAGGTAGGCCAAAGAATCTCTTATGCAGAGTAGTGAAACATCTCCAGAAGCCTTTTCAGAATTGCTGGATCTGGTTGAGCTGCTTATGAGCTCTTAGGAGATACTCTGTGAGCCTCTCGTGCAACTATAACTAAATGTGCTCATGGGTAAGCAGAAACATACATCTCTCTTTCTATGCAACTCTGTATGATCTTCCTTCAGTTTATATTTAGTAGCTGTATAGGCATCATAAGTTTTAGTTTATGGACTATCAAGCTTGATGACACAGTGGCAAGAGAGACAGTAGGAATTTACTAATCCAGAAGAATAAATATGCATAGCACTGGAAGAAACTGGCTGAATCATTGATTCCAGTTCTTTGTGAAAACAGAAGACTAGCCTTGGACCTTCACATACCAATCACTCTAGCAAAATAATAGTTACAAGATTCCCCTTGGGAGACTGAGTGCATCAAATAACAATGTGCAGTTAATTACGTGATTTGCAATGTCCCTGGTTAATGAAATTACAGGAGATCTTTTTTATTTTATTTCAACATAGTGTCCAGTCATATTTTTAAATCATCATTCTTATCTTCCTCGGTGATTTTTGTTAGGTCATTGCTGTCTTTTCTTATTCCATACTTCAGAGTACAGAATGCAGTTTTGGGAAACTTTGCTTCTCAGCTATTTTAGTTATTTAATGATGTCATTCTTGTGGCAAAAGTTCTGATATCAAGATATCATGAGGCTGAATATATGTATATACAGATACTGCAGACAGAATTTTAAAAGGGAAATATTTCAGTTATTTTCATATATAAAATAAATAGCTATGCAGAAGAAACTTGTGATGTGATTTAAATGTCATTGTGATCTATGCAATTATATGCTCCTTCATTTTAAAATTGTTATTAAATGGCTATGTTTTTAAAAGTTCTCTTTCCTACCTTTATGTATAAGAAAGCTTTTTTTTTCTGCATGGGTGCTAAGTCCTTAGGGTTTTATTATAAGAATGTTTACATTTTCAACATCCAAACTTCAACGTGTTAGTGTGAGAGCAGTCTTTAGTTTAGAGGCAATCTTGATGTTGTTACTCAAATTGTAATGTTATTATAGACAGAAGAAGGACATTGGCTCTTTTTCTTACCTATCCTGACTACTAGGTGTGGTTGGACCAAAATAAAAACATTTTGGAAACTAGTTGGCTAACTTTATAAGTGAGCTACAGTAGAATAAAAAATTACAACCAAGGAAGTACTTTCAAAAATCCCAATGTCCTAAGTAGTCCCTTTAAGAAAGCATGCTTATAATATTTAAATTTCTTTGTTACAGATTCTTAAAATTTTTCCAATTTCCATATTCCTTTTTATTGTCATGAACTTACTGAGAATATACCTTGAAAACCTTTAATACGGATGTTATGTGATAAAGGGTAAAGACTCATTGAATTACCTGTAACAAATGGCAAGTTTTGACAGTCACAGCTTACAGTTTCAGCTACTAGATCAGTCACGGTTCACTAAAAGGACTGGAGGAGAAAGCCTTAACTGGTGTAATCATCAGTTTAGCTTCTGAATTACTAGTCCAAGGCTATAAATATACCTGAGAGATTTCTGCAACTGCTAAACACACAGCTTTGCACCACATACGTGCTCTTGGAGGAAAGCAAATCTTTTTTACTTATAAGGTCATTGCTCTGAGAATAACAAAGGTTATTTTGTGGGTGGAAAGGGTGTTTTGCTACATTGTTTTCAGAAACCAGATCTTTATCCTGTACTCTCAATGAATAGAAATTCAAAATGTGGACACATATTTCCTCTCTGCAATTCTATATTCTCTAGAATGTAACATAAAAGCTTTGTGTTACCCTTTCTATCAAATATTATCCTCGTTTCCTTGGTTCATATTGCCAGGCTGTTTGTAATAAAAGGTTGCAAGGTATCCCAAAGTGATTGTACAGAAGGACAGAAGGTAGGTGTCTCCTGAAGGAGACTTCAGGAGGCCTGTTTCTTGTCAGTAGCTCACTACTGCCAATTGACTTTGTTATAAACTTTAATTTGG